CATCCCGTCACATCCCGTATCGTCCCATCCGTCCGTTCTTCTCAGAATATGGGATCTTCCCACAGGTCGAACGGTGGATTGGATGTCTTTCAAGAAGGCCGTCACAGGGTGACCGTGTCACCCACCGGAGAGTTCATGTGCACCAACCACCACGGGAGGGTGGGGCTCAGCCACCGATTTCGGCGATGCGACTCTTTCTTTTGTTGAGAAATCGAGGTTTGAAAATTGGTCCAGGGGGTGTGTTATCTTGTGTCATTTACGGTAAATCCTTCCTCCTTGTATCCTCCTCTTGCAACCTCCTTGTAGCAGTCGTTGGAGACACAACGCAGCTGACAATCACCCCCGCCCAAAGAACATTGAGCTCGCTGTATTGCACATTAAGCATTGTGTTGTTCTCCATCCTTTCTGTCCTGTGCGACAATTTATGCCTTCCACTGTATTTCTTGTATATGACGCACCAGCCGGGATCTGCGCACACCTCGAATTTCAGCAGGGTTTTTCGTAGCTGATCGGGTTGACGACGTTGAAAGTATCTGATTTCAGAATTGAGAGAACCAACTATTGAATTCCGGTGGGGTAGCGATGGTTCCCGCGAGGGGCCGAAGAACTTGGCACCGAACAGTTGTAGTAATCGGCTTCTAGAATGTTGGGATAGAGGCACAAAAGTAAACCTCAACGATCAATTTTGTTATTGCTGTCTGCCCCAGGTCGAAGAGGAACTTCGAGGTGGTCCAGGCCTACATGCACCGCTTCCTCAAACACTACGCAGACTTCATCATGACTACCCCGGACCTGCGGGAAGCATCGAAAGCACTTCGGGACGAGCAGGAGGAAAGCTCGAAGAGGATTAAGCAGCTCGTGCAACATAGCCTGTGCCTCGTGGGGTACTTGAGCAATCTGCAATCGTGACCTCGATTTGGCTTGAAGGAAGCAAGGAGACGGATGGCACGATTGAACAGAACGCTTTTCGTCTTCCCTTGCCTTCATGATGAGGGCGTTTTGACCCGCCCTTTGCCGGTGTTTCGTAAAAACTCGCCACACGTCACAGCAGTGTTGGGTGGGTGAGCCCAGGTTCGTGTTTGCGTTTATTCCCAGTAATCGCGGTTGACCATTGGACGTGGATGATGCATGGCGGCCTTTTGGGTTTCTATCATTGGTTTTTGAGCATGTAGGGCACAGCAGTAGTGTTGTTAGAAATCTTGGACCCATAGACTACCGTATACGGCACGAGATAACACACCCCCTGGACCAATTTTCAAAGCTCGATTATGCGACAACGAAGAGAATGCATAAATAAAACAATGCATTTTCGGAAAGCTCTAGACGAGGCAGCTTCAACTCTACCGTTTTCCGCGCTGTAACTCTTTCTGCTGTCGAGAAATCGAGATTTGAAGATCGGTCCATGGGGTGTGTTATCTTGTGTCATTTTCGGTAGGTGGTAGGACATGTAGTACTGCCACACCCACGCAACGAAAAGACGCTTGGGCTAGGCCTGCCACGCCGCCATCTGAGGGCTGGCTCTTTAGTGTAAGAGCTGTAACACTGCGGTACTGTGTTGTGAATTTACGCTGTAGTGTCTGAAGCGTAACTTCTCGAACCTACTCTTGATATTGACCCCAGGTTCTTGACCCCAGTTAGGCCGCTTCTCCGTGTTGACTTCGTTTTAGACTTGACAATCTCCAGAGTCTTGGCGATCTCCAGAGTCTTGTCTGAAAATAAGTTGTTTTTCTCCGGTCGATGTTCTCGAGATGGCATGACAGATGTTAGAGTGAGTTCAAAGACGTGTTTCTCCTGCCTCCTCAAGTTTCGCTCGGAAGCTTTTTTTGTCAGTTTTCGAGAATCTGTTTGTCTTCGGTGACTTACTCGTAGATTTCCTCGGTGCGACACAGAGCCGACCCGCAAAACCAAAACTTTAACCCCCACAGGTCATCAATTTCCATGCTCATTTGCCGCACTCCAGTCCAAGAAGGTTTTCATTTATTTCCGGTAGTGTTATATACGACACCGGTGTCTACTTCCTTATATACGACACCTACCATTTCTTGGCCCACAGGGCTCCAATCGGCGTACAACAAAATGCGCTGTGTAGCCACGGCCCGCAGCTATCAGCCCATACCATTTTGGGTCAAATCGGCCAAGTGGTTGAAGAGTATATAAGCTTATCTACGACACTGCCCTTGGGGACATCGTCCAGCCGGATGTAGGCGTACCATGGCACTGACTGGGTGGATTTCGCCCCACAGCGGCTTGAACGATAGC